AATGTTTACAGGAGAAGGGGTTACTAGCCCATTGCTCCCGGCATTTTAGTCGCCTCATACGACACGCATGGCTTACGGAGGAAAGATTATTTTCCACTTCCCCATGGACAATAGAAGAAATAAAGAAGAACAAGAGCTATTTAGAAAAAGGAGAAAAACCTAGATGTATGTATATATATATGCATGTGCATGTCTGCGAAGTGTGACCAAAGTGTAAGTTGGAGTAGCAAGATATCCCTGTTATCTAGCGTGTTTATGAGACAGAAAAAGACACCAGCAATCCTACCATCATGCAAAACAGTTACAGGTTTCTGTTTCACAGTCATCTGGCAGGACGGTAGTACTTCCCTGGGTGGTTGCTGTCTACCAACCTACTACTTGCCACACATGTCCGCCATAATATTTTACGTATTGCAACACATTTATATTAAATGTTGCAGGATCTGTAAAAAGCTACAAAAATCTTATTTTTAACTAGACAGTGTATTATAATTATATCTAAAAGCAAGCGCTAAACCCGTATGGGTGACACTGCTAGACAGATCCGTGAACCGCTCAGACCTACTATTACTCCCTCAGCAGGAAAACAAACGTTTTTCCAGAGATGAGCGAGGTTACTCTGAAAAAAAAAAAAACATTTATTTCCGCTTCAAAAGACGAACTGAGATAACACGTGGCTTAAACTTTAAGATTTTTTTTATGAAAGACAAGTTGAACTTAGCTAAATAAAAGAGTAGCTCACTCCTTATTAGTGATGCACTGGTTCACCTCTAGTCAGAATTGCCCTCCAGCAGCCCAGCTTTCTGGATTTTTTTTTTTTTATCCTGTCAGGGAGAAGGTAATCACCCTGACTCTGTTTACAAAGTATTTTGAACTGTAGGTCAGGAGGGACGTTAAGGTCCATGGGCAGTAGAAGAGGAAGCATTCGTAATAATTAGTGTAATATACTAACAAAAGTAGTAGTTATTAAAGCTGTAGTAATAAGTAGTGTAGTTTAAATAGTTGACGATAATAGCAGAAATATTCTTAGTGTAAATATCACTACTGTTTTTAGTACTAAGATATTATCAGTAATATGGAGAGAGAGAGAAAAGCTAAATATCGTTAAGAATGGTAAAAATATGATTAATTGTAGCTAATTTTTAATTAAACAATCCATTTGATAAAGTTAATAAAAAATAAATATAAAATCAGTCAATATAATTATTAGATTTTAATAAACTTCATAACGATTATTCACGTGCGTATTAGAGTCATCTCCGTGTTTAGCCATAAATAAAAAAAAATGGTATGTGATCTCCACTCCATGTTTTTGCCGAGTTGGGTTGATCGGGGCTGGTCAGGGGCAAGTGAACATCCACACTCACTTAACCTTGACGTAAGGCTGGGACTACTATATACCAAGACTATTCTCTGGCCTTGTCTCTGATTCAATAACAATGTACCCATTCTTTATTTGCTCTTAAACCGAACTGCTCAACTATGGCATATTTAACACAAATTATTCAAACTTAAATAAACTTAGCAACGTGTCGCCGTGGTGAGTGTACTAACCACTGCACTTGGTAGGAATGAATGTCAAATTGGAGTACTGAATGACCTGCGAAAGGCTTTTGACGCTATTATCCACACGATACTTCCTTAACTTACAGCCACTGTGAAGCCATAGGTCACTCTATACAATCTTCCACAAGAGGAACCATGAAGTACCCGTGACATAACCTCATCTTCTCTGCCAATAAACAATGGTGTCCTTCAAAGCAACATTCTTTCTTGTCTTATGCTTCCTGTATATCAGCGACTTGCATTATACGTATACAGTGAGAGGTTGTATAAATACATTATTGTACTGCATATATTGTAACTTGTCAATGGGTCAATGTGGACCGAAACGTCGTCATAAGGTTCCTCTCCTAAGTGTTGGTTTTTGGATGAACTATTCCAGCCAGGGCCAGATAAGGCATGGAGTTTAAGGGCTGCAGCCCTGAGGCCTCCGCCAGTTGGAGGACCTCCAGAGATGAAGTGTCCACAGTTATAGCTGTAAGTTATAATTATAGTATGTTATTACATCACGTATATGATGAACTGTTGACTGGTGTGATAAATTTTTGAGAGAGATTTAAGAGTGGATCTTCATAAGGCAAGCGTTATTCGGTTTGCTAATGCCTAGTCGTGTCAGTGTGTTTAACTTGTCAAGCCTAGCGGCAAAGGTCTACCTTCCTTTTTATATGATTTTCATTTTACCCACATCAATGATGGTTGAATTAAGTTCAATATTAACGATGTGCATTTTGCCAGTGTGTTACTAACATAAATAACTTTATATGCAAATAACTAAACCGTGACTAAGTGATTCATGCAAAAGAATTAAATTCTCCTTCACTGGACATTATGGCTAAAAGCACTTGTCTTTTTCCACGATGAGAATTAACCTTAAATCAGTATTCAGCATTTCTCCACCCTTTCAGAATAATCGTGTTGGAGAAAAAAAAAAAGTCAGAGTGGAGCAAGCGAAAGAAAAAGATAAGAGAAGACGCAGAAACATGAAGAACTGGTCTAGCAAATGTCCAAACATAATTATTTGATCTTGGGTTCAAACAATACAGGAGTAGAACAGCAAACAGAGCAGACAACAAATGCATCTAAATCCGGTGATTATAATGACAACGTGACAGAGGCACTAGAAGTTCAAGTTCTCTGAGGATACCAATGTCACAGGAGTTGATGCTGAGCGGTTTGAGCTTGTCCACCAGAAGAAAGATGACCCGGGATCCGAGTATTAAGGCGACATTGGTTTGTAAACAAACTCAAATATAACAGAGGTAGTTCTTGACTTTTGGTGTAAACAAGGTTCCGTGGAATGCCAGCACCGTGATGACTTTTCTTCATCCGAAAGACAATACTCTGATCAGAAAAGAAAATTTTCTCGTTCGTTGATATTCCGAAAACATAACTGGCAAGAATATTGAAAGGGAATTGATAATGTGTCCTCCCTCAACAGGAAATGTATATTGTTTTGCTTGCATTCTCTTTGAGGGTATACATGGATCAAAAACCCAGCTTTCCGTTTATGGATTTTTCAGACTGGAAACGTGCCTCTATACGGATTATAGAACACGAGAACAGCTCTGGACATCGGACCTGTATGATGACATGGCTTTCTAGACGAAATGCACTTGGATGAATTTACTTAATATTGAAAATCCAATTCACCAAGGAAAAAGAATACTGGCGAAAAGTAATACAGAGTGCTTTCAGCGGTGTTTAACTTTTGTTTAATGATAACTAATGTGATTGGAGAGAGGAATTTCTCCAAGCTGAAAGATCTGAATGTACACAGATCGACAATGGCACAAAAACGACTAAACACACACTCTTACGGCAACTGAAAACGATGCTCTCAACAATTTACAATATACTAATGTTTGGGAGAAATTTGTTTCCAAGAAATTACGCAAAACAAATGTTTGAATTTTAATTGTGGTTAGCCTTGTAAAAAATAATTACAGCATTTATTACTCTGAGGATCCTTGTCGAATAATTCATTTATATGCATATTTACATACATATGCAAAACAGCCACCGGGGGGAGTAGAATGATAGCTCTAGGCCTTTCGTGTTGCAATCAACACATCATCAGGAGCTTGCAAAATTGCAGAAAAGAGGGTGGTTCCCAGAGGACAGCGTTCACTGGAGTGAGCGAGGGAGAGAAGAGAAGGTACCGGAAGTGCCCACAGGTACAGCAGCCAGAAGGATGAATATTATAGCATTAGAAAAATCCACAAGCATTAATATTGTAACCTAAACGAAATTAACATAGCAATAATAATAATAAATTCAGTCATATTCCGCTATGACAACAATAACTTTAAATACGTATATAAATATTATCTGCAACACAGGAGTCACTGACAACTACATATATATCTTTAGGGTAGTGGAAAAGCTTGCAATGTATCCATAGATTTAATAATCATATTGACACGTCGACTAATGTGAAAGACAGGTAAATTTACATTTGATATGGACAAAAGTGTCGTTTAGCAATTTTTTTTTTCGTCACGATCCAACCCCCACAAACTTACCGTATGCCTTCAAACCTCCTGAAATCTGATGTACATGAACTTGGTGAAAAAGTTAATAGTTGACGAATGTGTTGACACATCACATCCGGTAACATTACTTCATCTGACCGTCCAATACAACTGTGTATGGAAATTTATCATTTCATACATCTACTGACCTTCATATCTCACCCTCACTTGCATATCAAGGCCATCTCCGTACTATAAAGCCGCCTCTTTCAGATTTTTTTTTTTCAAAAGCTACAATCGACGTTTTCATTATTTAACAGGTTTACTCTCCTATACTATCAATATGGACGCTTACATAGGTTACTGTAGTAATCGTGACACGTACAAACTACAAAGTTAACACATCTCAAACCAAAACAGTGTTGATACACAAAACACTAACGTAATAGTAGGGGTCAAACTGGACTCCTGGCAAACAACAAATATACCCATACTGGAAATTAATTTGCTAACTTTAACACGAATAAAATAAAAAATTCTCTACATTTAAATTACAAATTTGAGTTCCTTACTATTTTTAACATTAATATTGAAGAAATACTGTGTAATATCATTTTGAGCAATTTTTATGTTAAAAAACTTGCTATTTCAAGAATTATAAAGTCCCATAAACAAAGTTAATTTTAATTGTAAATGTTTGGACCGGTAAATAACAAAAAAAAGGGCACAATACCGTGACTGGAACGATACACAAATAACCCGCACATAAAAGAGAGAAGCTTACGACGACGTTTCGGTCCGACTTGAACCATTTACAAAGTGTGACTTTGTAAATGGTCCCAGTCGGACCGAAACGTCGTCGTAAGCTTCTCTCTTTTATGTGTGAGTTATTTGTGTTTTGGACCGTAATCCAGGCAGTGGAAGGCCTCTGTCAGATGACCGACAGTTCCAGTGACTGATCATCATATGACTTAAGATCAGCGTCAGGAAACCTTGCCCAACCTGACCTTCACAAAGAAAACATTCTGGAGAGGAAACATCGTGTCTGTCAGTCCTGTGTATTCAGTACAGGGAAACATTGTAGCCTGGACTAATTACAAAGAATTGTAAAATTACCCCTATCATGTACTTTATATAGCGTGCATAATGCATTTTTTCCATCACGCTTATATACAAAGAATTGCGGGAATGCCTCCCCCAACCACAACACTTCCAGCAGGTCTGGAATTTTCCTACACAGAAGTATTTCTCCACAGGATATGACATTTAGCTGGAACATTTGAACAGCAACTTTTTTTCCGAAAGTTATGACCCACAACAGTATAACTCGCCTATATATAACTATTATTTTTCTCCCTCTGTGTTCTTGTTCCTTCCATTCGTGGGCATCTAGCTCCCTTGCAGTGCTCCTCTTAGTCTTTGACTCCACTACTTCCACTACCTCTACCACTACTTTTCTTCCTTTCCTACTACCTCTTATCCCGTCTCTGTGTGCTGGCCTATATATACTCCCTCATTTTCTCCTTTCTACTAATGTGGCTTTGTAAATGGTCCAAGTCGGACCGAAACGCCATCGTAAGCTCCTCGCTATGTGCGAATTATTTGTGTACTGTTTCAGTCACGGTATTGTGCCTTTTTGTTATATAACCGAGGAGGGGCAGTAGAGTACGAAACTCGCCCACACGTTACACTGAACCTTGATATTTAATCCTAGATATTTGTGCATGTGTACAATATTCTTGCCAATAAATTATAAATTTTGTTCCAGTATTAATACTGCATATTTTCTTATATTAATTTTAGTATATCTCATGCTTTTATAAAGTAACCATTACATTGTACATTAGTCTAATTATTAAAATATAAATAGATTTTTAACTCTTGCATAAGCTTTATTCTTTCATGAGGAAGCAATGAACCGTCAAGGCCGTACAACGCCTGGGAAATAGGAGGGAAGGTTTAATCCGAGGAAGAGGGAAACTCGGATTTCAAGACTCAACCCGCAACCCACTAAGTTCCATCAACTTTAGATCTTCCGAAAACGCTATGTAGAATATCAGCTTTGTAAAACTCGGTTAAAAAAATCTCAACATATGCATCTATGTAATACAAAATATTTGCATAATTTTTGAATTTTAATACAGTACAGAAGTGTCGAGCAGCCAACCATTGCCTCAAGATACTGCCTGGGTGAGAGAGGAGTGAAGATAGTTCGGTAGTACATAGTGTTCCGGTCAACGGAAAGGATCTGGACTCGATCCCTGGGAAGGTGGAGACGTATAGGCAAATCTTACACCTCCTACATTATTCACCTTGCAGCAAGTATGTTTCTGCCAGTTAGTCGCTTAGCTGAATGAGGAGAGTCGCATCCTACTGAAATAATGAAATACCATACAGAAATATACCACTAGTTAACTTTTGCTGGGGAAGGGTAAGGGGGAGGGTTATCGTGTGTTGTCTTTTTTCTTCTCCCAGCATCTAGAATTTACTAAAACTGCGAATTAAGTTACTCACTGAAGCAGGTTTACAGAAGAGGGCTGCGGCTGCTCTAGCCCCAACTCCATGGTGGAGGCTCTCTCCTCCTGGAACTCAGTCAAGTCTGCAAATTAATTATTATTATTACGATAGTTACAATAACGTTAAATTATATGAAAATAAAATACCTATTAACTGTACTTGTGCGTACCTGTACTAAATGAACTTACAAGCCCAGGATATGTTTTATATCGCATGAAATCTTCAGCTGGAATGATTCCAGTGTCAAGCTCATGAGATGTGATAAACTATAATTATTATAATCAAACATGTTAAAAAAAACCGTAAGTGCGAGAGGAATCGATATACTAGCAACATTTTACACAACCTATGTGCGGGTTATTTGTGTGTTGTTACAGTCACAGTATTGTTTCTTTTATTCTGTACTAGCAACACTATTCTTCCCAAGACAAACATAAGATGGGTAGACTAGGTAAACCCTAGATAAATCACCAACCAGCATATATAAACATTTAATATCCTTACAAAGATGGAAACTGGACAGAATTACGAAGCCAAGAGACCAGTGTGCAAGGAAAGCGACTACAGTGGTATTCGAATATTATTAACCAAGATACAAACAGTATAAAGATACGGCGGGTCATCATCTAAGACCAGCGTCAGGAGACACTAGTCCTGTTTTCTGACGAACCTTACCTAACATTTCTGAGATAATACCAAAATATTGTCCCCGGCATTACTGGAATGAAACTTCGGAAAGTGCCTTAACTAATGTTCCTTTAATGTAATGCTATACTTGATCCACATAGCCTTAGTGAAGTAACCCCAGCTCAGGCTGATAGATTTCATTACCAGACGTATAAAAACCATCCTGTGTGATGGAATTGTTAACTTTTGTTCTCATGTGTAACTTTCATATAGAGGATGGCAGCAGCATATTGCCGTGTCCAATTTTGCTAAATAAAAAAAAAACTACCACCTCATCCAAGCTGGGGTGCTTGAGGCTATCCTTATTGTCTACCCTAAATTTATCAGCACTAACAAAAAAAGCTTCAAGTTGTACGAGAGGTATAATGTGCAAATTATATAAATTATATTACATGCTGCAGCTGTGTCATTATTAAGGGCAAGGATCAAAGAGTACACTTCCACCAGCAAACTAATTTGTAGTAGCTGTCACATTCTACCTTCTTTCTTGTTACTTGAACTCTGGTTTATATAATGTGAGCACAGCGAGCTCCCGAATTCGTTTGTGTATTCAAGCAGCAGTAAAGATTATATGTAAACGATAAATATTTAAAAATACAAGCTTAAAACTTCATAAACTATAGATCTATTTATTTGTCCATGGTAAGACATTCTAATTTTGGAAAATAATACCTATATTATTACAATAATCTCAGAGTTATACAGTACTTGGGGAATGAAAGGTAAACAAAATTTTCATCCAAAGAAGAAAGCTGCAATTCCTCGAATCAAGAGCCGTGAAGTGTTCAATTTTTATATTAAAAGCCCTTCACCAGAATCCAGGAACTTTCCTTTAAGAGGATAGCGCTTGTAGCATAATTAACGGCTTTTATTTGTTTTCCTCTAAATAGTTTCACTACTAAGCAATTATTTTCATCTCCGTCTTCGTTCAAGTGCTCTTTACACCTTAACTTGCCCTTGGACTTTTCTGAACCACACGTATTCAGCTGTGAAGGTCGTCCATCACAATTGTATGTGGCCTTGTTAAAATCGCGCCAAGGTCCCCAGCTAGCTTTCAATATAAAAATTAATGGAATATTTGTAATGCGAACAATACTTAAACCTCTTATAAAGAGAATACCCGCTATTTTTTCCATCCCTCTCGGTGACAGCAGGACATGGAAAGAAGAGTAGTCAATGTGGCTACTGTTACTTTTTCTTAACAGCTGGGAAGTTAAGCATGGATGGGTGGCGCCCAACAGACTACATTCCACCCATGGCTGTCGATATCCGCCTTTCTCCACGCCCTTCCTCATTGAGGAGAAGCGTGGAGAAAGGCGAATGACAGGATTAGTGGGTGTAATTACATATATCTGGTGTTTGGAGCTGATAAAGGTTAGGCATAGAAATATAACGAACTATAGACCAGTATTCTACGGTAGAAGCCTCCTGTTTTCTTATCTCGTCTATAATGTGTATTCTGAACTCCAGCAGAGATGCCATTAAGTGTAAAATGCTAAATATTGTGTCTGCCTGTCCTCCTTACTGTAATGCTACTTGGAACTTATTATTTCTCGTATCTTAATATTTTGAGTTAACATCAAGTGACAATTCTTGAAGATATTGAAGGAGACAAGTTCTAATCGACTGTTTGAATTTTATATTTATTTACAGTACTATGTTACTTTTACAAGATTTCATTTTGTCACGAAGAGCGAATTTAAAGGACAAAGTGTCTCATTCTGAGAGTGGCAGCTAAGTTAAGAAAGAGGACTTCTCGGGTACATTTCAAATTATCAGAAATTCTGGGAATTTTGGAATCTTTGAACTCGGATAATCACGATGTTCACATACAAGACTCCCGTCCCGATCTCACGAAAAAAAAGCTCACAAACATTAGCAAATACATTTTTAGGAAGATTGTTACTATGTTCGGTTCACCTACAATGTTAAGTCACACAAAGAGAAAATAACATTTGAGACTTGAAGAGCACTTTGACCTTGAAGATCCCGAGGCAATTTGGACAATGCAAAAAAATAAATGCAACACGCACAAAAAAGGCAAAAACTAAGCAATAAAAATAAACTAGGATATCGCTGAGTATTCTACTATAGGCTCAGTAGCTATGAGAGCTTAAAAAGTTTTGTTCAAGCAGAGTTCATTACATTACTATTACGCGAGAATTACTCTCTCGGAACTATAGGAATAAGAGACTTAATTCGGGGGAACTGAATAAGTGAACACGAGTCACCATGTTCATCAGACTGTATACACCCCATCCCAACAAAGACTAAGACCATGTTGGGAAAAATAATACGAACAATGAGGAATTAAGACATATGCAGCACCTGTGTATCTAGAGACAGAAAATGAGCTAATCAGTCCCTCAACCTGTAACCGATGTTAGTTACCTTAGTCTTGATGGATCATATTCATCAAGACTAACACCGGCTTCCAGGCTGAGGAACTCAATTTCCTATCATCTACTCTTTCCTATTTCAACATCTTCAAAGTATTATATTTATATAGCCGCTGATTAGCGTATTTTATACCAATATTGCATTGAAACAGGATCAATGTCAAAGGACGGAAAATGTCTTGAAGCACTGGTCTGGAGAATTTTGGTGGTACTTTCAACAATGAAAGGTTCAAGATAGGGACGAGGATGATTAACGAGCTGTTAAGTTTCAATTTCCTCAGCTGTCGCACAGCTGACCAGTTGTCGGCATCTAGTACAGAGCTGCCCATGGTTTTCATATGTATGTTCAACCCGTCTTCTTAACAACAGGCACAGTTTTTCTGGTGTAAAGACAGTCAAACGGGAGACTGATGAAGGCACCTTAAACAGTAAAAATCTGAGTTATATCAACCACACTCAGTGGCTGCCAGTTTCCTGTTCGCGCTGCAGAAAATTTTATCGCCTGTATCTTAACTTTTTTTCTGCATTGTGGTATGCTATAACCGATTATTTTTTATGGATCGATGACAACCTAACGTAATCTAACCTAATCGAAAAAACTACTGCAAACTGCATGTGAGAAATCAACACAGATGCTTTAGTGAGCTAAGAGGATGGGTTAGTAGCTGGGTGAGGATACTGTTACCTCATCAGGCCCGAGTGCTTTTCTTCAAGTAGGGGAAGAATTTTTCTTAGACTTTTTAACAGTTCTGGAGAGGGATAGCAGAATTCTTCTTAAACTGTTAAGAATTCTATCTGAAGGACAAGGAATGGGATAAGAGGGATGGGGTGTTTATTCTCTCTGAAGGAAAATGTATGGACTAGGTCAATTCTATGTGAAGTAATTGACACGAGAAAAAAGGGTTAATTCTCTCCATAGGACGGTAAATGAGAGACGGGAGATTCACTCAGAGACGGGAGAAAGGGGGGGGGAATATTTTCTCTAAAGGGGCGAGGCTTCATTAGTAGGTGAAACGTCAGACATTCCGGGGTAGAGTACATGTTATCTTTTATTTCTGACAGTTACAATTAAAGCGAAGCGCTAAACCCTTAGGGAGTTGTACAGTCTGGATAATGAGAGGTAACCAGGTTTGATTCAGGGAGGAGCAGTTTCGCCTGCATCAAGCTACCTTTCTTGAAGGATATAAAGGACTACAAGGACCCTAGTGGAAATAAATCACTGACTTTTTTGGTTTACCGTTGGTAATTTACACATGTTAAACTGTGTGATAATTGTAGTATTGTGTAGACGTACCTAAATAAACAAGCTCCAAATGGCTGCTAAATCTCCAACTGGATTTTGTCGGCGCCAACAAGCTGCTGTTGACAGCTTCAAGGTAGGTCACCTTCCACAAACCATAATTCGCTGCAGGTCATAGACCAGAAAGCGCAAGTGATAAGGGGTGGGAGGTTCGAATTTAATCCCAGGAAAGAATTCAAGTAAATCAGTTCCGGTTCTCCAGATCAAGAGTCCTTCACCACCTAGCGGAGCCCTTGAAGGAAGCATCATCTGTCCTGAAAAACCAGACAACTCATTTTGAAGAAGGATAATTTTGAAATGTTTCTAACAGCGCGCTACAAAAACAGTAAGTTATTAACTTGTTTTTAGACATGTGGGAATCCTCAACATCAGAGCCATTATGAGCTCTAGAATAAGACGTACGAGAGGTGAAATCAAATCTAGGATAGCCTCGTTGGCTAGTCGTGCCATAAGTCACCGCAGGAAACTGTTAAACCATCCTTGACGTCCAAGTTTTTTCCACAAAGGCTCAAGCTTGTTATTTTCATAATTGCTCTCTTACTTTTTCTACGACAAAACGATACCAGTGTTTTAATAACGTATATTTAGTTCTATCAACTCGCACAAAATGAGGGTGGTGAGGGGCACTCCTGTGAAATAGGTGTCAGTAAACTAACTTTTAGGAATTTTCTCCCTCAGCTAATGCGAAAAGTTGATGTCAGCAAACCTGGAATTGCACGTATTTTTCTTTGCCATGTTGCGTGACAACATGTGTTAAACTAATTACGTTTTGTTCCTGGTGTCAAGGTACGAGAAATTTTTGCTCAGTTTCTGTAGAACTGTGAAGACCCCTCCATTCGTCATAATTTTCCATAATACGAACCAAGCAACCATGTTAAATGTAATTAAAATAAAGAAATATTTTGACACAAACAGTTAACCAAACTATGTTTAAGTTAATTTTTCTTACGATTTAACTAACGTCAACTTAACGCTATACGTCGACTTGTAAATATTTTATTATAACATGGTTAAGGTTAAAACACGGCCGAAAGATTCTGGCAACGAAACCTAAAGTAACCAAGAAGCTTAGAAATCTGCACGTGTATCTCTCATAGTAAAATATTATTTTGTGATGAGAGTATTGTACTCTGCTGCCGGCGAGTCTGGGAAAAAAAATATATATTAAAATGAGATACATGACCCAACGACCCTTAAAGACGATATAGTGATGACTTTTAAAGGAGACACTGTATAGTGACAACAATGCTTACAGGAGGCTCTATATAGTGACAAGTAATAATGACAAGGAGACAAAACGACCACTGGGCTGGATGGTTACCAAAGTGCTCGCTAGACAAACTACCAAGCCTACCACGACTGGGAGAATCTAGCTTTATTTGTGCATGTCGCTCGTTCTTAGTCTGTGTCTCATGATCCCCATCTATCACAATTTCCCATCTGCCACTCTGATGCTCCCTCACTTTTCACCACCATCACGTCCTCTCCACCACATCCCTGTACCACCATCACGTCCTCTCCACCACATCCCTGTACCACCATCACGTCCTCTCCACCACATCCCTGTACCACCATCACGTCCTCTCCACCACATCCCTGTACCACCATCACGTCCTCTCCACCACATCCCTGTACCACCATCGCGTCCTCTCCACCACATCCCTGTACCACCATCACGTCCTCTCCACCACATCCCTGTACCACCATCACGTCCCCTCCACCACATCCCTGTACCACCATCACGTCTCCACCACATAGGTGACCCTGTGGCGTGGCTGGCAAAGTTCTCGCTTCACACACGGAGGGCTCGGGGTTCGATTCCCGGCGGGGTAGATACATTTCGACGCGTTTCCTTACACCTGTTGTTCTGTTTACCTAGCACCAAGTAGGTATCCGGGTGTTAGTCGACTGGTGTGGGTCGCATCCTGGGGGACAAGATTGAGGACTTCAATGGAAATAAGAGATTCCTCGATGACGCACTGCCTTTCTTGGGTTATCCTGGGTGATTAACCCTGCGGGGTTAAAAAAATCCGAACGAAATCTTATTTTATCCCTGTACCACCGTCACGTCACCCACACCATATTGTTCCACCATTATCGTGTTATCAGATGCCTTTAACTGGGTCAGATATTTACAGGTGACCCTTATTAAACACACCTCCACTTAATCAATAGTCCTTAAAGGTCGACCGCAGAATTGAAGAGGATAGTTCATATGGTAGATTGATCGTGCTAGATGGATTACTGTCAAACTGAAGATCATAGTTCACAGCAGTTGGATAGTGTTAGAAGGGCCTGAGAATGAACGGAATAGTTCGCCAAATACTTGGATAGTGCTAGATAGATGAACGTGGGGGTGAAGAGGATAGTCCATCCAACAGCTCACGTACCCGGATGCAAAGATGGAAAACAAACTGTCAACACGTCCGGTAATTATTATTTTACAGGGAACAGTGACCTAGAAGTGAGAAGTGTGTAGGAGGTGTGGAGGAGAGAGTGGAGGGAGGGAAGAGTATGGAGAACGAGGAGAATGTGGAAGAGTAAAAGAAAAGTGTGTGGAGGAAGAGTAGAAAAGTGTAGAACAAATTATATAATTTGAAGTTCACTTGCCTCAAAAGTACATTTAGGGAAATATAGTCACTGATAGCAACCCGCACTTATCAGTCACACTAGATTAAAAACTAGCACACTAAAACAAATATAAATACTAAAACCCTAAAATATTCATGGCTAACTAAATAAAAACTTACAAGATGTACACCAAAGCTTTCTCCTAAAATGTAACCAGCAGACACATACAAACAAGCAATTAATATGAACCACTGTCATCAACATGCCTCCGGCTACATAGATAAGCACGATAACTCGTCAGCAGTTATTATTGAGGCATGTGCCTTATCCTGTATTTAAGTTTAATAGCCTTATTTTGTATACCATACCCATCCTGTGGGTAGTAGTCAAAAGATCACAGACACACATAATGGTTCCAGGGACTGCGCCGCAAAGTTCTGATAACTAAAATTAGTGATCCTCAGAATATAATTTCAAAGGATTCCTGTGGAAGGAAGAGTCCAACTTCCTGCTAGTCGTCTGTGGGCTCATCGTCTGCCACTATAAGAGAACGTACTTATCTACTCTGCCCTAGAGGTCGTTAAGCTAATTCCTAGCATCAGTCTGTTTATTACCTGGGACCTCAAGATGCTACAGGGACCAACAGGACTCCACAAAAGACAAGCCACTCTTGCAATTTCGACTGACTGATTCGAGTTATCATATTAAAAGCACACGCTATATCAATATGGGCTGAGCAGAGCACTACTAGTAAAAAAGATGGTAAATCGGGGCTATTTATGACAAGGAATCAATATGAAATCAAGAATGATAGAAGTTCCGCGGAGCAGGAGCAGCAACACCACCAGCAGCTTTTATTTAACTCCTTGGATCAAGAGCTCTTCAATAGCATCAAAGTATCCCGCCCACCGACACAATCTCCAGAGTGAGTGTTGTTATTGATTATGAAGTGAATGCCAAATCAATAGACCTTTGAACTGGATCTGTTTTCTTTTATTTTTTCAAACTATCCTTCGCACTTTGGGGCAACCTTTACCATTAAACACTCCTCAAGGATGAGTGAGAAAAAAACTGGCATCATATCAGTCAGCCAATAAAGATGAATTCCCGTCATACGATGGCGTGATAAATATGGGTGTTGGGGAAAATGGAAACTTTGTAGGGGGAGTTTGGGATCAAAAACTTGTCCATGGGAAGATGAGGATCCAACACCCTCCCTGGGAGGGGGAAGGAATAGGATCCAACACCCTCCCTGGGAGGGGGAAGGAAAGGGATCCAATGCCCTCCCTGGGAGGGGGAAGGAAGGGGATCCAACACCCTCCCTGGGAGGGGGAAGGAAGGGGATCCAACACCGTCCCTGGGAGAGGGAAGGAAGGGGATCCAACATCCTCCCTGGGAGGGGGGAAGGAAGGGGATCCAACACCGTCCCTGGGAGGGGGAACGAAGGGGATCCAACACCCTCCCTGGGAGCCTCGCGCAACATTTGATCTTCAACACCAGAAGTTGGTTGCGCGCGCGCGAGAAAGGTGAAGGTCTCTCCCTGCCAATATAAAGGAGGTTCCTACTGGTCAGGGCGCAGTGACCCCTCGGCTCTCAAGACAACATGCTGACCATAGTGAGTATCTTGTGTTCCTAGTAGCCTGGGAATGTTCTCAGTAGCCAAAGAGTGTTCTTAGTAGCCAAAGAGTGTTCTTAGTAGCCAAAGAGTGTTCTTAGTAGCCAAAGAGTGTTCTTAGTAGCCAAAGTGTTCTTAGCAGCCGGTGTGTGTTCTTAGTACGAGCGTTGGCCTCTTCTCTCACCCGTCAGTTTTAGTTGATTTTATTAAACGTATCAGTGAATTGAGTCTTACAGCTATGTGAAATATACCAAGGGCTCTTGATCCTGGGAGTTGGTGCTACCCTTCCCTTCAGCTATGTAAATTACACCAAGGGCTCCTAATCCAGGGAATTGGTGCCACCCTTCCCACTCTCTGGATCAAATCTCATTGCTTCCCACTCCCATAACGCTGTATGACCCCTTACTGCTTTAGCGCTTCCCAGAATAGTTCTTAAACATGCGACTAGTGTCCCGTAGCTCGATCGCCAGCGCACTCAGCTCACACACTGAGGTCCGGAGTTCGAATCTCCTCCGGTACGGCTGGAAAATATTAGGGACGTGTTTCCATAAGACACTTGCTGTCCATGTTCACCCATCAGTATGAAATGGGTACCTGGGTGTTAGTGGACTGGTGTGGGTTGCATCCTGGGACAAAATTGACCTAATTTGCCCGAAATGCTCTGTATAACAAGCGGCTTTCTGTATAGTAGTAGGTCATTGATGTCAACTAGGACTGATACCTTGTAATTGTAGAAATAAAGATATATTATTACTATAATTTCCTCGGCAGTGCTTGGAGTTTTTTTTAACATAGTAAGAAAATTGTGTTTACGTCGTAGCCTACACTACAGGGGCAGACGTAACTAAGTCATTGTCTGTGAATATCAAGCAATAATCACTTCTGATAATACGAGAAAAACTCAAGTAAAATAAAAGGCAAAATAATGGTTATAACAGTATTAGTTAACAGATCTTATGTAGTCAAAATTACATTTTCATATGCAATGGCTAAATTTGCAACGTTGATACACTTAGGATTTTTATTATCAAAATTATATACGCTCACATCACACTAATTATCTTGCCATGATCTTAACACAGGGTAGAAAGCATTCATTTATCTAGCAAACATGAAAATTACACTACATTTGACCATCCCATCTTCCACGTATCTACAGTGTTGACATGTTTATAGTTCTACACTTTGAGGCAAGGAGGCAGGGGAGAAAAGTGAGGCAAAGAGGTAGGGAACAAGGTGAAGCAAGTAATGAAGACTATCCTCCGCACATTACACAGTCAGGATTGTTCCTGGGAAAAGATGGGATTGTCAAGGGTTAGTATGAGTTAAGGATCAGCATAGCACAGTAGTGAATACAGCTACACAAACACCTTGATTAATCTTCATATTGGTCAGGGACTTGTTCCAAACTTACAAATGTTCAGATAAAAATACTGGATAATATGCGTACATTTCTAATTATAATAAAGTATTGGTTTATTGTTCATATACAATAAAATAAACTTTAAAAAATCTCAACGAATCGTCCTACATGACACCATATTATTAACATTATCCAGCTTTCCATTCCCAACACTTCCGGTTTCGATGACGGCGGCCCAACCCGAAAATTTGTAATATCAGACACTTTCAGTGGGGTGAGAATCTTTACCCACAGATTTTTTTTAAAAGCCCCACTATGGGTGAAGTGTCATAAAAGTTATTCATGATAAAACTGTCACTGAAAGTACTTTCTTTAAGGTTTACATTATATCCATGGGAGAGCACTGGACCCATAGGAACTACACTGTACAGTACCTGAAGGAATGGGAGGCATATAGGTTTGATCCAAAGAAAGGGAGCACATGTTCAATCTCCTAGATCAAAAGACCCTCATCTGTGTCAAGGAACCTCCTTTGAGGGGTTTGATACTTACAGATGCCTCCTAAAAGCACTTATGTTTGTGTGTAATTTATGCCTGGAGGGTGTTCAGGGAGTGAACGCCCCTGATGCCCGCTCCGTTACTATCCCGCTGTAAGCAGAAACGTATAGACTGTTTTGATAAACACAAATAAAATGTAGTTAATGTAAATGCATTTGTCGAGATAACTGGTAATGCACGTTAAACAGTTTTTTCTCTCCCTCAGGTGGTGTTAACGGTGGTAGCCGCCGTTCAGGTGGAGTGCGCACCAAACCAATACTGGCCAGGCTTCTCGCATGTTTCCTCCTTCATATCGCAGCCGTTGAAGAAGCCACTTCAGTCTGCTCAGATCAACAAAGGTTTCTCAAGCAGAACTAAAGTTCATGATCCCACAGAGGCACAGCGAACCTACGAGGAATCTCTTCGAATGTGGCTGGATCAGGTTATGCTCACGCTTAACACTGCAAAGTCCGCCAGATTCGGAGCTCGTCCCTCAATAGGACAACCAGTAGTACAGACAACAACAACAACAACAACGGAGCTTCCCGTGGAAATTCCGCAAACAGAACAGGTCGTAGTTAGAGAGACTGTCGAGCCTATGGAACAACCGATCGAGCAAGATCCCGTGTTTGTTGAGATCGAACCAACTTCCGAAGTCATGACGCCAATAGTCGCTGAGATCGACGTTGCCGCTGACGATGTGGTCCCAAGTGCCATCGCAGAGGAGACCATTCCAACTTTTGCGGAGCAGGACACCGCTACTGTTTTGGAAATCACTCCGAAGGTGGCTCCAGAGCCTGCTGTAGTAATACCTTCCGTAGAACCCATGATTGAACCTTTCGTAGAGGGCACTGTTGTGGAACCCTTTGCTGAGGTTCCTGTAACGGCAGCTGTTGGAGAGCAAGTAATGGAACCCACAGAAGAAATCGCCGTCGAACCTATTGTAGAGCCTTTTGTAGAACATGCTGTTGATGAACCAATCGTAGAGATTCAACCAGAAATTGAACCCCAGCCTTTCGTAGAACCGTTCGTCAATGAGCCGGCCGCAGAGCTCCACCAACCCACAGCAGAACCTGAGCTTGCGACATTAGCCTTCTCAACCAGCAGGAGCTTCAGCTCTGCGGCATCCAGGAACTCTGTAAGGGCTATTCACCAGGTTCCGGCCATCACCCACAAGGAGTTTCCTGGAGCAAGCTTCCATCCTAGCGTCCTAAAGCCATCCCAGCAGGAAAGCAGATTACCAGCCCATATTGCGGACGCGGTCAATACCGAGGGACTAGCTTACACACTACAGTTCTTCCCCACTCGGGGCCAGTCCCATTATTTTGTTTCTACGGCCATCGGTGGAAATGGGAGAGTCTAGAGGAGGATTTACTGTAATTAAGATTGTAAATACGCTTTTTATTCTTACTACACCAGAATGTTCCCTTGTAACGTCCGAAAATATTTTTCTATCTGTAAATATACTTCTAACTGTATATACTCTGAAGCTTTTTCTACATGTGGCTTCCAGCATCATTTAGTTACAAATATATATTTTGAAGCTTATAAATGCTGTCTGATGTAAAGAACCACAAAAAAATCTAATATTTTATGTAAAACAATAAATTCTTAAAAATAATGTGTTATTTACTGGTGCACTTGAAAGATGAAGCGCTGGGTAATTAAATTTACAAATTTTACTATATGTAGCTATAAGCGGGGCCAGGAGCTATGAATCGACCCCTGTAACCACAGAAGGAGAAATACTAAGGTAGCCATAACTGTCACGTGAATACAAAGAACCTTCAAAGTCCCAACGTTTATGAACGAACTCAAATATTTGTTTCCAACACCCGGAAAAACTAATCAGGCACCTAAAAAAAAAGCATTACTAAAACTTTTTTTTAAATCTTCAGCAACTATGAAATCGCAGTTACATCTGGCGGCACTACTAAATGAAGTAGCCCAGCAAACAGGGTAGTAACATGAAAAATAACAGAAGGCAGTGGCACAATCTAGCAACAATTTGTTTCATTAGGCTGAGGTTATGGCACGGGAGATTCCTCATAGATCGCACAGCGACCGTAACGCATGTATTTATAATTAGTGCCAGCTTGATCCTCTTCCAAGGAACTGGGTCTACCCTTCCATACCTTGGTTCAAAAATGGCTGGCTCTCCTTACCCAAGACTATATGATCCCTACTGGTTTAGCGGTATCCATAAAATAATTAGTAGCAGACTATTATATTCAAAGGTATTAAACCCACTAGTTGCGAACAGTGAAATTGTCTTATCGTACAACCTAGAGAGAACGTGCCTATACAACCTACCTTCTGTAGCCAAAGAGCTTCCCACCGATCCCCCATCCCCTCACGAGGAAGGTTCCTTGGTACCGATGAAGGGCTACTGATCCAAGGAATATGACCTGCCTTTCTTTTCCTTAGATCGGCCCTGAATGCCTCCCATTTCCCAGATGTTGCAAGACTCTTGTAGGTCGTACCCCCTCCCTCACTGAAGGTAATAATGCTTACCGATGGTCATAGAAAACGGGGTTAGCCAGTCAGTGATCACCTGGGAGGAGCATCCAGGTGTTTGCTGCCATTTCCAATCCCAGTTACTGCACCGAGCCAGACTAGGGAAGCCCCTAGGCTTGAGGGATAATGGAGTTATGCAGGTAACTATTAACGCGCCTTGTGGTAGCCATGGGACCAAAAGAATGGGTAGTCTCAACTGTTAACTCAGAGAGGCCATTAGGGACCTGGCCGTTTGGAGGGATCCGGGAAGCATTATTTTTGATGTTTCGTAATGAATTCACTTCAAGGGAAGGGGGGGGGGGTACTCTTATACCGTGAAGTGGTCTTTATTTAGAAAATGGATCTAGCCTCCACTTCCTTGGATGAAATCAAAGTTCCCATTCTTACCGTGTTGTGAGAGCCGTATGGGTTTATTCAAAGTTGGTTATTAATGCCGATAACTATGCGAGAATCAATATGCTGAGGATACATTTTGCCGACCAGGGGCGAAACGCTCACTAGAATGAAGAAACCATTAGTGGGTGAAACTTATCCTCAATAAATGTCTTAATACTCGCATACGTGTGACATTCACAGTTTGATGCTTTTCCGCGATAATAATTTGTAACGAAGTAATACATGTTTCTGTCAAGCGTGTACAATAATAATGAGAAAATGTTAAGTAGGCTTTCTGCGCAGCTTGTCTAGTAGGGCACCCAGGATGTCTGAGGAAGGGTAAAAACCATAAGATACTAAAAAATCCACTTTAAAAGGTATGATTTTAATTATATATGTGAAATTTCTTAAGCTGCCGTGCTTTAGTGGTCACTGGTCAATGTAGTGAAAATATGCATTTGAAAAAGTAAAAAATTAAAGCTCTCATTGCTGTTCCACTGTGTCGACGTATTATGTCATTCACGAGTATAAAGTCCTTGCTCAAATATAGTTCAATAAATGCAAGGATCAGAATCTTATTCTAGCCCTCGGTAACGAGGTCACTATTCAGAAAATATATAGGTCAAGGTTGGCTACAGGTCAGAGCCGGATTAAGATTTTGTAGGCCTCTGGACTACTGGTTACTGCGAGGCCCCTAGTGATAATAATAATAAGTTTATTTCTTTGTAAAGGTTACAGTGTGTAATTACAATTTTGATTTGCTAAGTACAAAGATAGCCACTATCACGCCGAGGCATTTCGGGCAAACTAATCCTAATACATAGTAACTAATTAAAACTAGATAAGAGAATAGTACATAGTTATTATATTTAAAACTATACATTGAATAGTGGTTAGCTGTTTTACAATCTTATATGGACTTAATAAATCTTATGTATACTTAGTACAAAATCTAATTTACAAGGAATGGTGCAGGTGGTAATATTTTATGGAATGGCAGAATTAAAAGCCAGGTGGTCACATAATAAAACTAGGCAGTAGATGTTTGGTTGATTTAGTTAATATTGTGAGATAAGATGATTTTTTAGCAGAGTCCTAAATTTATAAGCTGTCTGGGGATCCTTGACCTGTTCCGGTAGCGAGTTCCAGATCTTCGGGCCTTTTATGTGCATAGCGTTCTTGCATATTGAGTGTCTTACTCGAGGGATGTTGAAAAGTGCCTTATGCCTCGTATTGTGACTGTGCATTCTGTTGTAACTGTCGAGTAGTAGTTTTAGGGGAGGGTTTACAGTTGAGTTTAAAGTTCTGTATATGTAGTAGGCACAATAATAAGAGTATATGTCTTGTATATTTAGCAAATTGAGTCTTTTGAAAAGTGGTGGTGTGTGCTGTCTAGCACAGGAGCTGGTTGTCACCCGCACAGCAGCTTTTTGCTGGATTATTAAGGGTCTAAGGTGGTTGAGCCCCAGGCACAAATACCGTAGGTGAGGTAAGGATATATTCAATTCAAGTTTATTCTCTATAAGGGTTACAATGTGGGGTTTACAGGTTTTGGGTATTGTGTGGTTTACATGTTATAAAATACTAATTACAGAGGGGGCCACTAGGACAGTTATTTAGTTATTTGCATAGTTATGTTAACAACACACTTATTAACACTTGAGAAATGCATATCATTAAATTTAATTCAACCACCATTTAAAGACTATACTTTAACGCCTTAGCAAACCGAATAATACCTGCTTAATAGGGATACACTCTTGAATCTCTATCAAAGATTAATCACAGCAGTCAACAGTTCATCATATCCGTGATATAATAACATACTATAACTTACAGCAGTAACTGAACACTTCCCATTAAATCTCTGGAGGCCCTCCAGCTGGCGGAGGACCCTGGGCTGCAGCCCCTAAACTCCATGCCTTAATAATTCGGTCCTGCTTCAGGTCCTGGTTAGTCGATATATAATTTATTACGTAGGTTAGGTGGGATTATTTAGTGGCAGTGGTAAGAAACATAACCTAAGGAAACCCAACCTTCAATTACCTTATGAAACAAATTTACTCAGACAGCATAGATAGCTTATTTGTTTATGTTCGATGCGTCTTTGTTTGCGCTCAGGGTCGGCGCCAAGTAGAGACTGGGGATGGGGTCATCCCTCAAATAAAAAAGTAATAGTAATAATGTTGCTTCTAAACAAGTCTCCTAGCCCCCACCCCGGACCAGCGAGATGACAACCATTTGCACCCCCCCCCCTCTATTTTTTCCATTTCTCAAAATAAAAATACGCACAAAAAATAAGTGTTGCCAGGTTATACATGACATGCTTCTATTTTACGTACTGTAGCAGGATAAACAAGTTCTGAAAATGAGGTATATATTGACCAAAATATATATTACCAATAAATAACAAAAAAGGCACAATACCGTGACTGGAACAATACACAACCTGCACACAGAAGAGAGGAGCTTATGACGACGTTTCCACTCTTCATAATTCATTTCCCCGTCTTGGCTACTCTTCCCATTTCATAGACTGCCATCTCACGTGCTAAACGGACTTCCTTCTCTCCCAAACTGTCTACTCCTGTGAGCTCTCCTGTCCTCTGCCTTCCCTACATTTCCGATTTTTCTAATCTCGACTCTCTCAGTTGCTTAGACATCAAACTTACTTTTCGCACTAATCTAGTTCATACCTCTCCTCCCTCTATAGATGCTCCGGGTGTCTACCATTTCTTGTTCCTCTTGTCCTCTTCAGTACTTTGGAGAAAATGGCCGATCTCTTTCTAACAGACTTAGGGAGCACAAAAGTAGTGTTAGGCTTGCCGAAACTAACAATGCTCTTTTCTGTCATGTTAGAGATCACAGTCATCCTACTGACTGGTCTTCTGCTAAAACTGTCTACCCTACTTCTAACTTTCACAGTCGCCGTTTGGTTGAATCGTTCCTTATACACAACTTTCTTTGTATGAATCTTAGTCCTGGCTTTGTCTCTGTAGATGCCTTCCTCTCCCATTACATTGTAACATGCTCCAAACTTCAGAACACCCGTGACTTAACCTGATTCTTTTTTCCTCTTTCCTCTTTTTCCTTTGGGTTTTCTTTCTTCTGCCTTGGGTATTTGTTCTATTATTCCCCCCCTCTGTGTTCTTGTTCCTACTCTCTCTGCCCCCCTGGCTCCCTTACAGTGCCCCTCAAGGAAGGTTCCTTGATGTTGGTGAGGGGCTCTTGATTTAGGGAATTGGATCTGTGCTCCAGTTCCCCGAATTAAGCCTGAATGCCTTCCACATGCCCCCCCAGGCGCTGTATAATCCTCCGGGTTTAGCGCTTCCCCCTTGATTATTATAAAAATAATAATCCCTTACAGTGCTCCTCTTTCTTAGTAGTATTTGACTGACTCTACTACTACTACTACCTCTCTTGCTCCCGTCCCTGTCTGCTGGCCTATATATACTCCCTCTTTTCCTCCTTTCTGTGTACTACAAAAATGGTTCTACATGACCATAAGTTTTAAAGGGGTGGACCGGTAAGCCAGCGGAAGGCCTCGGTGAGATGACCAAAAACTCCAAAGGCGGGTTATCATCTGACAGACCCGTGTCAAGAAACATTTATCCTGTTTCCTGACGAACCTTACCTAACCTTTCTGTTAGTGTGACTTTGTAAATGGTCCAAGTCGGACCGAAACGTCGTCGTAAGCTCCTCTCTTCTATGTGCGGGTTATTTGTGTATATATTACCAATATTTTTAACTTATTATAATCATCCAGAAGCGGTAGATTCTTAAGGGGTCGTACAGCCTGTGAGGAAGATTATCTAGGCTCTTAGTAAAAATGCGCCCCTCCCCAGGATAAAAATGATACATTGCATGTTATACAAAGGGCGTGAAAGAGGAGACCGTGTACCACTTATCCAAACAGGTGCTGTAATTTACAAATGAAGTGGCAAGTGACTAAAACATTGGTAATGCAGGAAATTAATGGGCACGATTAGTGTGCCTTCATATTAACACATCAGGAGTCTATTGTCTAAAAGAAAATAACCAGTTAAAAAATACTTCTGCATTTCACACTTTAGATTCTTTTAGATAAATATTGAGGGTGAAACTAGGAAATCAATGTCAATCTAATCCCGGTTCCCCATCTTCTGATAATTCATTATAGAATTGTCATACTAGTAATAACTATTAAGCCATTCTAGTTAATTACTAAAATGGCTTAAAATTTACATTAAAGGTAAAGGCATAGTAGCAATGAGATTTGTGTGGCGAGTTTTTGTCTCTAGTATAATTCTAGTTGAAGGTTTTTGGTAACTGATTAACTGTCTCACGAGACTGGGATGCTGGTGTTGGTGGGAGGTGCTTTGATGCTGGAGTGGCTCTTGATTTAGGGAACTAGACTTAGTCTCCATTTCTAAAGATCGAACCAGAATGCCGCCTCTTCTTCCCCACGAGCTATATGACCCCTGCGAGTTTAGCGCTTTTTCCAAATTAAAATAGAAATACACAATAATGTAGTCAGTTGGGCGTATTTACGGGTATAGAATATAGAAGAGTTCAGATTCCCCGTTTGAAGTGGGCATTGTCTTCTCAACTTACATTAATGGGGCACATTCAACTACTAGGAGTTATACAGCCCCAGGGGTGCGAGGCAATCAGGTTCAGTCCAAGGAAACGGAGGATACATCCAGTTCCCTGGAACAAGAGTCAATCACCTTCTCGATATGTATCATTATGACAGAGTGTCTGGAGAAAAAATTGGAAGGAAGTGTAAAGTGTGGGCAGAGCGAGAAAAGTGGCGAAGAGACGGTAGAGGCCAGAGGGCTGAACTGATGGAGACTGGAACGTGGCTGGGAAGAATAGGAACACGCATTTCGAGAAAGATGTAGAAGTGGACGCTTCAGGTCGCTTCTCAGAGGATGTAGTTTGTGAAGGAGGAAGAGTTGGGAGAGGGGGGGGGTAAGATCACGCGGCAGATTATGAAAAAATCGTGGGGACGCGCTAAACCCGTAGGATTATACAACGCTTGTGGGGGGGATGAAAGGAAGGTATTCAGGCTTAATTCAGGAAACTGGAACACAGAGCCAATTCCCTAGATCAAGAGCCCCTAACCAGCGTCAAAAAGCCTCCCTTGTGGGGTCGCTCGGCAGAATGATTTAAATGTCTTTGGCCCCTCAAAAGAGGTGCCTAGATTGAGTAAAATGAACCTGTCCCCTTCCTTAAGTCGAACATGATTACCGCCTATTCCTTATGCATGATTGTTACGGATTTAACGCTTTCCCTGATTGTAACACGTTAGAACACAGGTGTTAGTGGTCTTGTTTCTCTGCCTAGGGGCTGGATTTAAATGGGAAAAAATCCCTAGTGATGATGCCAAATGGATAATGGGAGAGTTGAGGGTATTCATATTATATTTGAGGAAGGAGACAAGAGGTTCATTTTCCTGGCTTAAGATCATCTTCCCCTTGAGGGTCAGTCAGATACAACCCCGTGTGTATATGGGGACGGTTTGGCTGGTTTCATTGGAAGGACAGTAGTAACACATTTTCATATATATAAATATAATAAACACTCACCGTACATTAGATGGCAGATTTCTAGCAGACCTCCTCACCGGTTAGTTCGTTAGGTTTAAGTCTGTATACTGAGTGAGTTAAGGTTGCACTTCACTTGTACACAGAAATCTAGAATACTTTAATCCATAAACTACAGATAAAGGTAAACTGTGTATAACAGATACATTCACCTCTTAATGCACAATCAGCTTATATACATCGAGGTCTTTATGTCAGTCGACTACACTAGGGTCATTAGAACTGCATGGACAAGAATATTTAAACCCTGAAAACTGGGATTAAAGTCGACTCATCATATTTACGCTGAAAGAAATACACCTCTAAGTGTGTATGTCCTGTGTGTGACAGAAATACGAATCAAAGCACATAAACCTTGCACTCGCGGACACCTGCCAAGAAATACTGTGTGCGCGCGCGCGCTCACACACACAAAGCATCGGTACTGCATGTGTAGTTTGCCCAAATTTCAAAATTATGCATTTATGTAGCTGTATTAGTGTATATATACAGAGGTATATAAGTCTTAAGTGTGTACACACGGTTTATGTAATTTCTATGCTATTATAGTATTCTTGAGTAAGAATTCAGGTGAATTACAGCCTTGATGACCCACTTGCCGTAGTTGAGCTTTTAACCTACGCTAACTCCAGACCTCAACAACGTTTACCCCCACGGGAAGTGCCTTTGTTAGTAAGGGGCTCTTGATTTTAGAAATTGGACCTGTGCTCTAGTTCCTTGAATGGAGCCCGATTGTCTTCCATTTTCCCAAGCGCTGTATGACCTCTGTGGGTTTAACTGTCCCCATAAATATAATAATAATAATAAAAATATAAATAACCTATTCTCTTTTCGGTAAATGGTTTTATCTAGTGTTATGGTGTGATGTAACTTATTTTATCAAATACTGAATTTATTCTCATCGTTATTATATGCATGGGGTGGCAGGGGTATTACAAATACCAGGATGACCTATACTATAGTAGATTCGCCGGTATAATCGCCCGGCCTGGGCTTTGTCCAAGAGGTGGCCCGGCCTTGACTTCCTGTCGTGGGAGTGTCTCAGACCAATATCTGCCAAGGGAGGTGGTTCAAGTACCTTGTCTTCTGGGACCAGCTGTTCCCAGGCCTAGCCCCATTCCCCGCCCCCACGGGGCTCGAAGGGAGAAGCTAGGCACCTTGAGCTGCCACAAACCCCGCCCACCCTGGGCTCGAAGGGTGTGGCAGCTGCTTAGCAGCAGGCGATGTTAGGAGGTGTTGCTACTGCTAGGTCACTTGTCTGTTGCACTCCCACCAGGACGACCCCGGGGATATAATAATACACAAATAACCTGCACATTGGAGAGAGAAGCTTACGATGACGTTTCCGTCCGACTTTGACTATTTACAAAGTTGACCGAAACGTCGTCATAAGCTCCTCTCTCTCCTATGTGCCTTTTTGTTCTTTCTATATAAATAAGAATTTTCGTCTTCCTGTTCAGCAGTTCCGGATGTAGACACCCACTCTATCTGTCCCTGACAGGTGGGTGAGCTAGCTTTTGTGACTGCATACAATGCCTTCCTGTTGTCAGTCATCGTGCCTGTATTACAGGCAGTTGTGATGAATGGTTTGAAAAACTGACAAGTTGAAGATTGAGACACTTATGCAACATATGGGAATCTTTATTCAGGAAACGTTTCCCCACACAGTGGCTTCATCAGTCCAATACAAAGGAGAAAGGCGTAAGGAGAGGAGGAGTTTGAGGTAATGAGTCCCTCAGCCTGGAGTCGATGTGTTCAGTCCATCAATCTTGTAGAATGTACAGCATAGGGCCGTAGACGTGGCTTATATACTGTAGTGAGGTGAGGCGAAGCAGGAGGAGGCGAGGTCATAGTGGTACCATCCACTAGTCGAAGTAGGTCTTCGTCCAAAGGTTGGACAAGTGTTGAAGAATTCTTTGTAACAAGATCCCATGATGCTGCAGTGTCAGACAGTTGTGATGAATGGTTTGAAAAACCGACAAGTTGAAGATTGAGACACTTATGCAACATATGGGAATCTTTATTCAAAAAACGTTTCGCCACACAGTGGCTTCATCAGTCCGATACAAAGTAGAAAGGCATAAGGAGAGGAGGAGTTTGAGGTAATCAGTCCCTCAGCCTGGAGTCGATGTGTTCAGTCCATCAATCTTGTAGAATGTACAGCATAGGGCTGTAGACGTGGCTTATATACTGTAGTGAGGTGAGGCGAAGCAGGAGGAGGCGAGGTCATAGTGGTACCATCCACTAGTCGAAGTAGGTCTTCGTCCAAAGGTTGGACAAGTGTTGAAGAATTCTTTGTAACAAGATCCCATGATGCTGCAGTGTCAGACAGACAGCCTTTCTACTTTGTATCGGACTGATGAAGCCACTGTGTGGCGAAACGTTTCCTGAATAAAGATTCCCATATGTTGCATAAGTGTCTCAATCTTCAACTTGTCGGTTTTTTCAAACCATTCATCACAACTGTCTGACACTGCAGCATCATGGGATCTTGTTACAAAGAATTCTTCAACACTTGTCCAACCTTTGGACGAAGACCTACTTCGACTAGTGGATGGTACCACTATGACCTCGCCTCCTCCTGCTTCGCCTCACCTCACTACAGTATATAAGCCACGTCTACAGCCCTATGCTGTACATTCTACAAGATTGATGGACTGAACACATCGACTCCAGGCTGAGGGACTGATTACCTCAAACTCCTCCTCTCCTTACGCCTTTCTACTTTGTATCGGACTGATGAAGCCACTGTGTGGCGAAACGTTTCCTGAATAAAGATTCCCATATGTTGCATAAGTGTCTCAATCTTCATTACAGGCAGTGTCAGTATTTTTCTGGCTGTGCTAATTTCCTTCGTTTTAGTGCGAGCTTTACTCGAGGCTGAGTACAAAGATAATTTTTTTTTTTTTTGTACACCTACCGTGTGGCAGATCATCTGGCCAACACGGATCAAAATTCCACGTGACAGCTGCCTCCTCCAACTCTATTGTACTGGTGATATTATTTCATGTGAGCTCTCAGCCTCATCACACCCCTCAAGGGAGGTTCCTTGATGCTGGTGAGGGGCTCTTGATCTAGGAAATTGGATATGTGCTTCAATTCCCTTAATTAAACCTGAATACCTTCCACTCCACCCCCCACAGGCGCTGTATAATCCTACGGGTTTAGCGTTTCCCCATGATTATAATAATAATAATAATAATCAGCCTCATCACAGAATACTCCATTTCAAATATGAGCTCACTGATTCGCGGTTTTCCAAATTTGCTTTGATTATCCTAGGTTTTTACTGATTTCCTAAGAATAACTTTGATCATTGACTTTTTTTTGCGTGGAATACAAATTTGAAGGAAACTCTAATTTTACTCTGTATTTCATATGAAGTATACTTTATAATATTTTACAGAATTTCAATAAATGTTTTTCTATTATAGGAACACAGCAATCAAAACATAGGCCAATTAGCAGAAGAAAATGAGGAACATGCATAAAGTACTTTGGTAGAAAGAAGGGCTATTATATACCACCACCTCCCCTCGCCATTAGCTAGCTGGGTTATACTAAACCCAAAAAGAGGTCACCCAGCAGAAATCAGTAACTTTAGATCAATTTCTGATTTGCCATTATGTAAAAAAATTACATAAACGTACACATTAATAAGTAAGCATTATATTTTTAACTCTTGCCAGTCTAGATTCAGGCCAGGAAAAAAGTGTGAATGATGAAATGTTTGACACAATCTAAGGATCTTCAGAAAATAAATATCCAATGGGCCTCCATATTGATGCTAGAAAAGCTTTTGATACAAAACCATAACATCCTGCTGTTATGGAATTAGAAGCCATGCTGTTATGAAATTAGAAGGCATGAAGTTATGGAATTAGAAGCCATGATGTTATGGAATTAGAAGCCATGCTGTTATGGAATTAGAAGCCATGCTGTTATGGAATTAGAAGCCATGCTGTTATGGAATTAGAAGCCATGCTGTTATGGAATTAGAAGCCATGCTATTATGGAATTAGAGGCTATACTGTTTAGGAATTAGAGGCCATACTCATACATGTATAAAAGCCCTGCCTTAACGACAAACACCATGTAAAATTAGAGTTATGTTAACACTATCAACTCAACTTATCAATATAGGAACGTTACAGTCTGTGGCAGACTTACATTTTTGGGGCCCTGAACCTTGAACTGTGATGTGCACCCCTTTGCAACCAGCAACAGCTAGCCAATATGATAATAAAGGTCCACATCCCTTTATCCAAAACCCTTGGGGCCAGTAGTGTTTTGAGTTTAAGAATTTTTCGAATCTCAGAATGAAGGTGGGGTCTAGGGCAGCACCCCATAATCAGACATTAACACTGCAGCAAAAACGTATGAATACTCACACTAAGTGGGATAAATAAAGACTACAAATACTACTGCGGTTTATTTATAGAGTAATATATTGATAAATGAAATAATGGGATAATTATAGACCAGGAACATGATTCTTCAGACGATTCTCAAGACAGTTGACAGATGGCATTTTTAAAGACTTCAAGTGTCTTATTAACGTAGGTTTCTGACAAAGCAATCTCTCTTTAACTGAATAAATTGCCATAATCTCTTGCTCACTGATAAATGCATGTTGTTCAAGGCCTGTGTTCACAATGTCATCATCATCATCATCACTACTATACCTGTGCTTATTTGTATTTAACACCATTTCAGCAATTTCACCATCACTCAAGGAATGCACAACAGGTGCATCATTGTCAATGTTCAGCATTTCTTCAATTTCAGCTTCCTGTAACTTATTTACACTTTCGTCCGATAAACTTTTAGTGTAAGTTATGAGGTTTGATATCATCTCATCAGTGACACAAAATCCTTCAAAGTTTTCATCTGTAGGTTCATTTACATCAAACATTGTTTTAGGCCAAAGTCTGTACCAAGCATTTGTTAATGTTGATTTATCAACATCCTTCCAAGCATTAACTGCATTAACAACAGTGGTAGTTCCAACACCATATTCTTCAGTAAGACACTACACTGACACACCACGATCAAGCTTCTGCAGTAACTCTACTTTCTTTGCTATTGATAACATCAGATGCTTTCTTTTCTTTTTCTCACTGTTACTCATAGGGGTATCTACAGCTCTTTTTGACATTTTCAGTGAAATTAAACGCAGTCATAAAACAAAAAGCAAAAACAAAGTATCATCAAACAGCATACGCAAGTGTGAACACTACAAGCGCTGAGACACAACTGACGCCTGCCACTCTGGCTGTCAGTGCTGGACCACTCTGCCACGTGGCAGCGTTGGAGTTATGTAGAGATGACTGATGCTCCACACTCCACAAAAAAACTTTGGTGTTCGGAACTTTTTGAATTTCAGAATTTCGGATAAAGTGATGTGGACCTGTATATCGTGGACTGAATCCTGACTGGCAAGAGTTAAAAATATACATGTAATGCTTACCTATTAATGTGTATGTTTATGTATTTTTTTCTTTACATAATGGCAAGTTAGAAAATGACCTATAGTTATTGATTTCTGCTGAGTGTCCACTTTTCGGGTTTAGTATAACCCTGGCTAGCTAAAGTGAGTGGAGGTGGAGGCACATAATAGCCCTTCTTTCTACCAACATACTGTATGCATGTTCCTCATTTTCTTCTGCTAATTGTCCCATATTTTGAGTGCTGTGTTCTTGTAACAGAAAAACGTTTATTGAAATCCTGTAAAATATTATAAATTATATTACTTCAGATAAAATACAAAGAAAAAATTAAGAGTTTCCTTTGAATTTGTATTCCTCGCAAAAAAAAAATGGTCCCTTATCAAAGTTGCTCTTGGGAAATCAGTAAAAACCTAGAATAATCAAAGCAAATCCAGAAAACCACGAATCAGTGAGTTTATGTTTTAAATGCAGTGAGCTCAGAGAGCTCACATGAAATAATATCACCTCCAGGACAAGAGAGCTGGAGGAGACAGCTGACACTTGGAATTAGAATCCATGTTGGCCAGATGATCTGTCACACGGTAGGTGTACAAAAATGATAAAAAAATGAGTATCTCTGTACTCAGCCTTGAGTAAAGCTCACACTAAAAGAGTGCAAATTAAAATGGCCAGAAAATACTGACATTGGGTGTAATACAGGCATGAGGATTGACAACAGGAAGCCACTGCATGCAGTCACAAACAAAAGCTCACTCACCTGTTAGGGAGACAGATGGAGTGGGTGTCCACAATCAGGAACTGCTGAACACAAAGATGAAAATTCTTATTATACAGAAAGAACAAAAATGCACAATACCATGACTGGAACAATACACAAATAACCTGAACATAGGAGAGAGAGAAGCTTACGACGACGTTTCAGTGACTTTGTGAATGGTCCAAGTCAGATGGAAACACCGTAAACTTCTCTCTCCTATGTACAGGGTTATTTGTGTACAGTATTCTTATTATCCCCTGAGGCTGCCCTGGTATTGGACAGATGAGGTGACAGTCAGGTAATATACCTTACACCCCATACATGTAATAACAATGAGAATAAATTCAACATTTGATAAAATAAGTTACATCACACCATAACACTGGATAAAACTAATTACCCCCAGTGAATATGTTATTTATATTATTATTATTATTATTATTATATTCATGGGGACAGCTAAAACCACAGGGAAATCATACAGTGCCTGGGAAAAAGGAGGGTATTCAGGTGCCATTCCTTAGATCAAGAGCCGTTTACTAACATCAAGGCACCTCCCGTGGGGGTAAACGTTAGTGAGGTTTATAGTTTGCATTAGGTTAAAAACTAAAAGCTCTGCTACCGCAAGTGGGTCATTTAGGCTGCAATACACCTGAATTCTAACTAAAAAAATACTATAATCCCATAGAAATTACATAAACAAGTGTATATACACTTCAGACATATACAGTGGAACCTCAAATATCAAACTTAATCCGTTCCAGGAGTTAGTTCTAAATTCGAAAAGTCTGAAAAGCGAAGC